CTTGCGCGGCCCGCTGCTTCGCTGCGGGTAGCTGCCACACGGCTAAGCTAATTGCCCAGCAGGCAGCGAACCTTGGGATAAGATGAGAGCATTTAACACAAAATATCACTGCAGTGTAACGTTATGATCAGGGTCAACAATATCAAAATGGGAAGCTTTGAACAAACGTGACACAGCGGTGGGTTTACATAAATGATGGTAAGACCCAGCAGCGTTTTCCTGCGTGCACGTTTCACATTTGGACATTTGCTCACAGTTAAGTTTGGGGAGCATCTGCTTAAAAGGAACCATAGGGCTTTTTGATGGTAATGTTCCTGAAAATTATTTCTATTCCGTTAAAGCCTGTTAAAACTTAGGTTAAAATGAAACGAGAACCCCTACAACTAATTAAACATACTTAATTCATGTAAGGCTAGAAATGAGGTTCTCTGTTCCTGAGCTGATTCTCCACCTTAGAGGTGTGCGAGTGTTGCTGCACAGCGAAGACTATACTCTGTTTTGTAGAAATTGAGTACTCGGGGGATTTTGGGAGGCCTGGGCAAAATTAGAGGCATTTTTAATCTCGGACTGCAAAATTCTGGGCCTCAGCGGGACTGATACTTCCATTTGTCCCGAGGATTGTCTCAAAGCTTGGAATACATCTAATTTTATATACAAATACTATTTTGCATTAGTAAGTTTCTCTTACTAGAAAAGTGAAATCTGTTAACATAAACGCTTGAAGATAATGGAAAAAGGTCTAGAAATAACCTGAACTAGACAATGTCTCAAACCTACGTCTGTCCTATAAATGAATTTAACTCTGTAACTCAACTTGCTTCACTGTGGTTATTTCTACTTACCACAGATGCAAATGAAAGATCAAAGGCCTCATTAAGCACAATCCCATATTTTTTTGGCCTCGCTCCCATTTTTGTCAAGAGAAAATATTTCAGCTATCCTTAGTGCCTTAATGATAAGTAGTTTCCATGGTAATTAAAGTTTGGGGGATTTAGTTGAGAATATGTTAAACAAGGACTTTTCTGTAACTACCTCACTAGCCGATTCAAATACCAGAGATTGCAAGGGTATCTCTCAAAGTCATTAGTGGAGATTTTCATCACTGCTGTTAGCAGAGCTAATAGTGAATTCTAAGTTATTTGTAGTGTGAGGAGTTTGCAATGATTCCAACAGAAACACCATTGCAAGCTGAATCTACAAATAGCTTAGAATGGTGTTTCTGTTGGAATCATTGCAAACTGGTGTGCAGCGTAATTGTGTGAAGCTCATGGAGTGCTTACGTGTGGAAAAAAAACACATTATCTTTCTCCCCCCCCAGCGAGAGGGAACACAACCTCCTAATATTATTCAAAGGCTTTTCTTCCAAGGACTCACAGGAACAAAATAATGATACACAATAATACAAGAACTTCTTAGGGCAGGGGAGGGGCAATAAAAAGACACCAGAAACACATTGTGGACTTGGTAAAAGTAAGATCACTAACAAGGTACAATTAGAGCTTCAATAGAACGCCCAACTAATAAATGCATGCATAATATTAGTTTAATTTCTTCATAGAGGAGGTCCTAGTGTCTTTTGCTTATTTTAGCTATGAACTCTCTTCTGTGTAAATAACATTTTAACCAGGATACTTTTTTTTTTTTCTTTACAACTAGTGTGGCATTGCCAGGAAACCATCTTCTGGAAGCTGCTTGGTTAAAAAACAGGAACAACAACAACAACCACCAACAAACAGAAAACACCAGTAGCTTTGATTTGTGTAAACCAACAAGTAGGTTCTCCAGTGGGGAGTGATGAATGAAGACGTTTATTCCATGTCAGCACTAAGGAATTTCGGAGGAAACCTTTCTGTAAATTACCGCGGACCCAGCGGCAGTAATGGAAGCATCATTTTGAGTTGTACTGGTAGAGGACTGGAGTTTTTTGCTGTTCTGTCATTTTAAACAACTGAAAAATACCTTGCGATTAAGTTGAAAGGACAAAAATTCAGCTGGGGAGAGGAAGTGAAGTTAGAAAATATTTATGGAAGGAGATGAGAAAAGGGAGTAAGGTGCCTCTGAATTCAAGAATTTATTAGAGAACTGTTTTGTTTGGGGTTTTTTTTAAATGTAATAACCAACATTTTGCTATTTTCCTGTTTTGTTGTTCTTAATTTCATTACCTGAAGGTAGAGGGGACATATTACTTGTCTTCAAGGTTCATTATACTGAACAAAATGCCCCAGAAAATGCAATGCTCCAAACCAAACAAACTGTTGTCTGTGTTGGAAGAGAGATACGGCCTACAGGCTTCTTTCTTTCTTCCTACCAAATACTGTTTTTCACTTGAAAAATAAAACAAAAAGCCGTTGTATATGTTTTTAAAATGGATTCATTTTGACTGTAGTTACATTGCCTTGTTAATACGGCAAGCAATTCCCCTCGGAATCAGTGAAACAGAAGTCTTCGTGGCTGTTGTTAAAACAGATAACCACCAATTGGTAATAGTAATTTGAGGATCACAAGATTCACGAGCGCAGTTTCTGTAAAGTAATGTCTCAGTTCTAAGGATTCTTGGTGTGTTAGTGGAGTAGAGGACAAGGGAGAAGTGACTGATTTTCCTCTAGGACAAAATTCCCCAAGTTATACAGTTGGAAACAGTGTTGTCATGGATCTAAAACTGGTGAGGAGAGGGGAAATACAAGGAACACGAGGTCACAACATGAGTAAGAAGTGAGGTGGCTCAAGGTTCCCTCAAGGGCTAGCTTTGTTGAGGTCCACATTTACGGCCCTCAAAACTTTCTGCGGGATCCCTAGGCCCTCTGAACTTTCTGTTGGTGGTGAAGAATATATCTAAACTGTAGAAGTTAGTGCTATGTACTGGTGGCCAAGCTAAGTCAAAGGGGCTCATACATTTAACGGCACAAGGCAACGCGGAGCGGAAATACAAGTTGGGGCCTTGCAGCGTGGTTGCATGCTGTTGCAGCAGGCATCCTTTGTTCAGCTGCCCAGGAGGGCTAACTGGCCAGAGCAGAGTACTGAACTAGGACAAGTGTACTCTTCTTATTCTTGCATTCAAAGCTAGTTCTCCCATCCCCTCACGGTGCTGTGTAGATAATGAAGTTGTACCCCACAGGTCTGGTTTTTGTTACGCCTGTAAGCACCTCAGCCTTGAGACTGCAGAGCAGTTGGTACAGCTTTGATCACATCTGAGCCTTACCAGGCCCCTCAAAATAGACATTCCTCGCACTCCTGCTTGCAGCCTCTCGCTGGTAGGCATTCTCAGGGACTGTCTAACAGCACTGACTGTGTAGCGAAGTTAGTGATAGTAGCTCCTTAACTGGTAGTTCAAAAGTTAAAGTGTTCACTCTTGATACAGAAGACAGGACTTTCCAGCCTCTGGAGACTAAGATCTTTCCTTTCAATGGAACAATCAAACCACAAGCCTGCAGGTTTTGCGGAGGTGAGAACTTTCTTCGTTCTTCCAGCTGAAGCTATTGTTGCATGTGGAATAAGATACAGAAAATGCTGGACCAAATAGCTAGTGGCTGGGGCACTCTCTTCCTGAAAGGAAGGAATATTGGATTCCTGGCCAGGTCTCAATATTCTCCCTGTAGTTTACTTTAAGAAGTTACACAGCAAAGCAGAAACAAGCTGTAGAGAATGGATTGTAACCAGGTTCAGTCTCCAGGTGTGTGCTCTCATCACTGGGCTGAAGAGTCTGGTTCCTTCTGCCCTCCTGGCCTGGTGCTCTGTTGGGCATTTTGCACAGTGAAGAAAGGGTAATGTGGTCTCGCTGGGGTGGAATATTCAGAGAGTGGTGGGAGATGCTCCGTGTGGCAGGGGAATCTGTGTCTGAGGCCACATCCCTCTAACTGAGGAAGGAGTTGAACATGGGCCCACCACAATATGCTGTCATACGAAAGATGGGCGTCTACACCATCCCTTTTTGAGAGAAAGCCTGCATTGTATTTTGTAGAGAGCCTAGGCCTGTGATGCTTGTTATGTGTTATTGTACCAAGCCATCCGGGATCTCTGCTGCAGAAAAGCCTCTTGGTCCTCCAGCTAGGTGTAAGCACGAAATAAATGCTAAACTGCTTAGCTCTTTCCAGACTGTTCCCAGACTTGGGCATACCCAGAGCTGTTTCTCCAGGGGAGCGTTACATAGGGGAGCAAAGCAAAATTACAAGGTGCCTATGCAGGAACTGCGTGGTAGTTTTCAAGATCATCTGTTTGGGACTTACAGGCCCATTCCTTAGTGGATCTTGTTTACAGTCTTTAATGTCAGTATTTTTCA